TTTTTTACCACTTTGCGAAGCACTACGTTCCCAATAATTCTCTTCCAAAGCGTCGACCTAATTTGCGTAGACAAAAGACTTCAAACCCGTATAAAATAGTCCAGTGTTGTAAAATCGTACAAGCTTGGAGGTTACGTCACAAACCTCTCGCGGCGCTAGGTACTACGCTCACCCAAAGTTTACTTCAACAATTTGATTGTTTGATTGGCTGTATATAGCGGAGACTTGTTGGTCGCCAACAAGTACGATGAAATCATTAATAAGTGCTCGATAGCGTTCTCCATTGACGGTAACGACAGCTTCAATTTTGAAAATATATGGACCAGCTTTGACTTTTTGAAGAAGTAAGGAAGCCTTAACTGTGGTTTTTTGGATTATCAACACTCCAAATGCCACAACTTTACTTATCGGATTCGGTGACCATCTCTTTTTGCGGTCATTCACCGAACGTGAGACGCGGTTGATAATCGTTCTGCTATGTACTTGAATGAGTTGGATCATGTAAGGCCGCGAACCTATATCCTTACGCAAAATCAAATATAACGTCGTCATTATGTTTTCAAGGACATTGTACAAGCCCAGAGCTTTACATTTAATATTTAATGCAAAAGGTAAGTATGCAGAAGCAGCGCTCTCGACGTCCATAATAGGCTATGGTAGACAAATACTCGAGGAAGGCAGGAGTGGCGCATTGAGGCTACTCACTCCAACAGCCGGGTACTTAGCATTGCGAACTGACATTTCGATGGGATTAATTTTTCTGGATAGGGTCGCTGCGGCGCAGAAAATGTCGACTATGTTTCTGAGATGAAGCAAAAAAGTTCCTCAGAAAAACCCATCGGAGACGAAAAAAAAACCTCAAAACTTACACCACAGATTCGAAGACAAGCTCTGCCAAAAATCGTTTCGTATACATTCTGCAATTCCATTTGTGATTTCAACTTAATTCAGCCATGCGTTGTTTCTCAGGAAGAATCTGGTTAGTCAAATCTGCTTTGCAAATTTTCTACCATCTTCCTGTGAGCAGGATTCTGGGCGAGAGATAGTCTATTATGTTTAGTCCTTTCCTGTAGAGATAGGCGACTGTTCTGCAGATTTTGCGGTAAACAGAACTTTTAAGGCAGACTCTCTGAGAAAATACCTCCGCCAACTCTTCCGAAAGGAAGAAAAATATCTCAACACAGTCAATTTGAGGGAAGGGAAAAAGTTTAGAGCAGCAGCAATACATTGTACCTTTCCGTGGTAAGATTTTGAGGATTACATTTGAGGTGTCATTTGGCATAAGACTAACGTAAAATAGTCACTCACACGCTCGGAAAAAGTAGTATTTTGACCGCATAAACTCCCACCCAACCACAAACCAAGACCAAATCGTCAATACAAAAGAAAAAGTCAAATAAAAACAAAAACAAAAACAAAAACTGAATCAACAGCAGACCAACGACTAAAAACGACTAAAAGTAAATATGGAAAAATGCAACAATGACTGCAGTGGTTGCGAGACGAGCAACAGCAGTTCATTTGCAAGCGCTGAACCGAAAAAAGAACGATTTTTTTTCCCACCGTCCTGTTGTCCAACACAAAGCTCACGATGAATTAGGTTTCGTCTGGTGGCAGTTTATCAAGCTGTCTTTCGGAAGACATTTGTAAAATAGCAAAACACAACATAAGCCAACGCCAGCAGAGGGAAAAAACGCTGACTGCTTGTGTGTGGTGTAAAACCAAAGCACACAAATGCTTAAACTCCTAAAAGTATGCTATAAAAACGAGTGAGCTACAAGTGGTGGTAGCAGTGAAGGAAATGCTGAAAAATTAAAATAAGAGTGAAAGAGAGAAAATGGAAACTGGCCAATTTGTAAGACAGTGCAATGTTGACTGCCATGCCAATATATATATGTACACGTATAGGGTAGTACGTTTTGTTTGCGCTGATTTCTATAAAAAAAAGGAGGGACTTCTTTTACTTTTGTCTTTTTTGTCAAAATATTTTTATGTATATGTTGCATGTAATTCGTCAAGCGATTATTCTACCCTTGTCCGCTAGTCGTCTATAAGTCGTTCACACACTAATACATAGAAGGGGCTGACATATGCTTGCTTTCTGCATTCTGCTGTTGTGCTCTTCATGCAAAACAGACCTAATTACGGTGGAGCTACACAGCTCCGAAGTTGGATGAAATAATTTAACGAGAAATATGATCACTCGAAAAAAGAGGCTTTTCTAGGGTTGTAGAGGTCATTGCTTGAGAAAAAATATATGCTACGAAGCTGGTAGCTCACTTCAGTAGATGCTGTAGAAGCAAGAATTGAGATAAGCAGCAATAAACGATCTCTCATCTTCAATGTGACTGTCTCATCCTGGGTCGCAGTGCGGGTCCGGGAAGAGAATACACCAGCGACAAGGCATGCCTGTCGTAAAAGGCAATTTATATCCTGACTACCAATCCAGGGCCATATTTAAGCCTAATTAATAGTAACTCCGGTTACAAGGTCTGAAGGGAGACTTTAATCCTTGTACCACGGGGAGCAGGAGCCCTCGGCACTTGCTCCGACCTGTTCATAGCGGGAAGAACCTTCGGGGAGTTTCATGGTGGCTCTGGTTTAAACCAGAATGCGAGAAGAGTTGGTGTGGAGTGAAGTTGGCCAACTCGGCATGGTGTAGCATTGCCACCAGGTGTCGGACCCATAGCACGGCAGAGTTTTGATATTAATATTTAAGACATAGAAGGTCTATATGCATAAATGAAAGACTAGCTTTTAGCAACATTTTTGTAGCAACACTTTTTTCCCCAGATCACTGGAGTATAGTGCATGGTGTCCCAGTCAAATATGCTCAGTTTTATATGTTACTTAACCCTGAATCGAATCTTAAATTATTGAACTGTATTTATCTTATATTTTATTGTCAGTTTGGTTGATCCTCCAAAGCGTCTATTCGGAAACTTTTATATTTTTATATATTTTTTTACATTAATATGAAATTGGCGCTTTGTAACCACAGAAGCGATTTTCGGCCGAGCTCCTATATCAATTTAGGGTTTTGTGCCTTGATGTTTTTCCAACAACTGCAGAGACCTACAGCTTATACTAAGCTACTTCCGAACGGCTGACGGTTTTTTATGAGGAGCCTTTTGATTTTCATCTCAGAAATACACTCCGAGGGATTGACATTCCCCGCCGAGGGACGACCGCAATTAAAAAATTTAACTTATTTATTTCTTTAAATTTATTTTCTGTAACTTTTGGATGTTTGTCGTACCAGGATTTGAACCCGAGCCTTCCAAATGGCAGCCTTATTTGCATTATTGGGCATTAAACCATCAACATGCATACCTCGAGTGTGGACAGAGAAAAATAGCTCAGGTGGATACACCAGTGTTGGTGATGTCCACGGCCGAAATTTCGATTCGGCGCCGTTGACAGGAAAAAGCCGCTGTTACTCTATTACGTGGAAAATTTAGTGAATGGATTTGGGTAATAAATCTTTTAGAATGCATTTGGTGGAAGAATTGAACTCGAATTACCTACCAAAATGGCTACCTTTTTGCAAGAAAGCGTTAGCAAAGTTGGATGAATATCCACTTTTTATCGAAAATCTGGAAAATGATTTAAAAAATGTTGATTAAACTCAACACAATCGGCAGTGAAAAGTGAAATATGGAAAAAACAACAACGCTTAGAGTATTCACGAGCATATTCGATCCGCCATAAAGAATAGAGAAGATAGAGAAGAGATTGTGTATTGAGTCTACTTGTTATTGAAGACCCATCTTGGTTGCCTCGTTATGAAATTGAATGCACAGAAAATCCCATGTCATGACATAAAAAGGACATATCACCTCACAAGAAGTTTAACATGTTGCAATCAGCTGGGAAACTCATGGCAATGGTTTTTTGGGACTCGGAAGAAATATTATTGTTTGATTATAAATATAAAGGGTGTTTCCATAACCGGAAAATACTTTATTTTAATATTAGAACGAATTATGGTAGTCAGCAAAGAGAAAAGAAGTGAAAAGTTAAAGAGAGGTGAACTACTTTTGGCTGCCCTACATAAGCCCGAATGATTATTGCCTCTCTTCAAGAATGTAAAAATGAGCTGAGGGATCTAAAATTGCCTCTTTTCAAAAATAAAAAAAGAGCTAAGGATCTAAAATTTGCCACCGATGATATACTGAAGGAGGCAGTTTTAGCGTATTTTGAGAATAAATAAATAAAAAGAAATAAAGAGAAAGCTTTTTTCATAAAATGAAATTATAATAAATAAAATGCATGGTTTGAAGGTTTTTATCCATCTTGTAAATGAATTTATTGAAAATAAAAAATATCTAGGTTTTTTTATTTCCATCCTTTGTCCCCCCGCCGGGTACATAAAAACGCTCCTTCGTATTTTTTTGCGCATAGCAACCAAAAGAGTCACTGTAAGGTGTGAATTATGGGCAGGCGACATCATTGGTTCGTCCTTTTTCAAAGATGATGAACACCGGAAGTTGGCTATGAGCATCTCTATCGAGGGCTAGAAAGCTTGTTTCTCAAAATAGAGCAGCTAAACTTGGCTGACGTTCTTGGAAAACCGGCTGATATGTCGGAGAGAGAACGGTGAAATTGCCCTGCAGGGTACCTATAACCAAATTTTAATCAATTAAAGACTTAACGAGAGACTAATTTTAAATATGCTCAAGTTTTCATAGTTTTCTGTTCATAAAACATAAAATGTTAGTTTATTTATAGCACTGAATGAGAGCATAATAAATAAAAAACCAAATACTTAGCTTCCATTTAATCGATAACAATAAAATCACAGTTAAAAAATAATTAATTTATAACCCAAATTCTTACAAAAAAAAAAAAAAAAAAGCATTTGGACTTATCAGCATTACGGTGGTGGATTACTGTATCTCTTAGCGTAAGCACTAACGTAGATATAGAGCTGATAAGGTTTTCCCACTTAACTGGTTACTTAAATATTCAACACCTTTCCAAATTCAGAAATAGTCCAACGCGAGTGTCGAAATGAGTTTGGTCAAATATTCCGTGCCGCTACTAGTAACGCTTCTTTGCTCGCTAGTCTCAATTGAGGCGGGCGTAGCGCAATCGAAAAATCGTGAATATTATGGACCGAGTACACCAGCTATAACGGTAACATACCCTACGCCACCATCACTAATTATAACGCAAGGACCGGAAACGAACACCACAGTTGAGCCAACATTCAGCAGCAGCACGCTAACCACAGATGGACCGGTTTTCTCAACAACCACAACACCAAACACTACCACTTCACAGGCGATACCACCGCCACCGACTAAAACCACACGCCCCACACAACCACCACATACGCCACCAACACCACCACCACCAACACAGCCACCAACACCACCTACAAATGGAGGCGTCGTGGTCCGTGGCGACTGTGCCTTCGATGTGAATGGCGATCTCAACGACCCAGCGCCAATTTTCATGCCACACAACCAACTTGAATGGCTTGTGCCCAATCCGGACGGTGTGGTGGAGTTGGGCAACGGTGCGCTTGTCGATATGTATTGTAATAAATCATTTGTAGCGCCATTTACCAATCGCACCAAGGTCACAGCGCAGTGTTTGCAGAAGCAGTATTTCCTTGTCGATGGCGTGATCTATCCGTTCTCTAACTTTAGCTGCACCGATTGGCCGGCGTTTACGGCACGTCGCACTGGTCGTGTGTGTAATGGCGGCACTGATCTTCTGGAGGTAGGTTTCGAGCTGGAAGCAGGTTTCCTTCAGACAATGGACATCTGTCACGATGAGGTTAATGAAGTGACACGTTATGTGCATCATGTGCTGAATCCCTCCAGTGCTGGTTACCAACATGGTGTTTCGCGTCCGCGCTTCATAACCGGCGACTTCTATAACGGTAAAAATGTAGACAATCTCTATACGAAGGTAAAGCAAAATCAAACCTTCAGCGAAATACTCGGCATGGATGCAACGCCCTACTTCAATGACACCATAGACGTGTACTTGGCGCGTGGCCACATGGCCGCCAAAGTGGACTTCATTTTTGGCGCACCGCAAAAAGCCACTTTCTACTTTGTAAATGTTGCGCCGCAATGGCAGATGTTCAACGGCCGTAATTGGGAGCGTATCGAGGATGGTGTGCGTCGGTTTGCGAGTGATCAGGCGCTGACGTTGGACTGCTACACCGGCACTTGGGGTATCTCGAAACTGCCCGATGTGAATGGTGTGCCACAAGAGCTCTACTTGGCATTCGATGAGAACAATAACGGTCTTATACCGGTGCCAATGTTATACTTCCGTGTCGTCATTGATCGGGCCTCGCGCAAAGGCATTGTGTTGTTGGGTGTGAATAATCCGCATGCAACATTGGAGGAGATTCAAAGGGACTATGTGATTTGCAAAGATGTAGGTAGACGCATCACTTGGATTAGTTGGGATAAAGAGAACCTCGCGAATGGTTACTCATACGCTTGCGCAGTGGATGATTTTACAAGTGTCGTGAAGGATGTGCCATTGGAGAATTTGCACACAACCGGTCTGTTGGGTGTGGAAGAGCTGAAAATAGAAAATATACCAATTTGGCCGGAACTTTGAAATGAAATAGCAATGGAATCACATTAATCATACAAACACGTGAAACGGTAAATAAATTAAATTGATTATCGTTGCAGCGATAACAGTAAATATCGACGTCTCTTTTTTCACTACAAGAGGCTAATAAATTAAAAATTAACTATTTCACAACAATAAAAATTAAATATTTATTATGTACAAGTGTTGATAATCCATAGAAGGTGACTTAACAGGTGTGTTCATATTTCTGTTATTTTAAGCGCTTTAAGGTTATTCCAAATAACCAGGTTTACCGACTTATCGGTGCGCAGATAACTAAGCATTTGCGTCGATTGGTTTTTTTTTCAAAATCGCTTGTGCGTAGAAAAGAAATATTTATTATACAAATGCAAAGCAAGGGACAGCAAGGGAAAAATAAATATTTTGAAAGAATTTTATAATCATTAAGGCATCGGTTCAGTACAATATTGAGACTAGTTCTTAAAGACCTTTGACTAGTTCGACATTATTTTTGCTCAATTTACGACTCACTGGAACTAATTCGAAATTATAATTTAATCTTCGCCTAATTAAATAATTGTGAATTAAATTATGAGTTGAGTTCAGCTGGTGATACCACTGAGATGTAAAAGGTGACTTTTTATGTGCTATGGGCAAGTTTTTCAAAAAAAAAAACACAGAAAATTCAGAAAAATGCCTTCAAAAATGCAAATATCAACCGTGACTGCGCCTCAAATGGTCCTTCCACTTAGTCCAATTTTGGCATACTCTTCCAACATTTCGGCCGGTATCTCACGAATAAATGCTTCAATTTTATCCTCCAATGCATCTGTATAGACATTAGATTTAACAAAGCCTCACATAAAAATAGTCTAAAGGCGTTGAAACGCACGATCTAGGCAGCCAAGTGACCGGTCCCGAACGTCAAATAAAATATTTACCGAACTCGCCTCTCAAAAAGTCCACTGTTACGCACCGTCTTGTTGAAATCACATGTCATGCAAGACAAGCTCTTGCATTTGGCAGTTTGATATCATCTCACGGCAGCGCTCACCATTCACAGTTACGTTACGATCCGCGTCATCTTTGAAGAAGTGCGGTCCAATGATGCCGCCAGCCCATAAACCGTACCAGACTCTGACTTTTTCTGAATGCATTGGTAGCCCTTGCAATGCTTCGGGCTGATCTTCACTGCAAAATCGACAATTCTGCTCATTTACGCACCCCCCAAGACAAAAATGAGATTCGAAGATAATAGCTAAAAAAAAATCACTTTTTACTTCTAATATTCACAAATAATCGAGCAATTCCGCGTACCTTATAAAGGCAACGAGATTTCCTAAGGCCAACTCAGCAAGACAGTCGAAGAAGTGTCTCCCAAGGAACTTGTGTCGCGCGCATGTCAAGGTTGGACAGTGACAGAGTTAGGGCCCCATCTACGACCTCCTCTTCTTCATCCCTACAACTGCGGCAGTTATTACGCCTGTCGTTATTGTAAAGTTCTCCATTACATCCAGAAGGATACAATTTTTTAATTTTTTCGTGTTCAACTTTGGTCATAGTTCTCTGGGCACGTTGCATGCGATCTCGTTCAACCATCCTGAGTTAGCTTCCATGGTGCAGCATGTACTAAGAGGTAAGCCAGCATCATGTGCGTGTTTTATCGTAGATAGAAGAGCTCCTTTTCTTGCTACAACTGGCTCGTCGGTCACCTACTGAGTCGAGATATTTCGGTGACCGGAAGAGTCGCACGGTCGACTACGGCAGAGCGCTATGCCGCAGCAAGTCACCGTTACTCCCAGAGATGGATCGGTATCCGAGAGGCTCCGTTAGTATATAGTCGGACAGCCATGCCTGCAAACTATCCAATGGGCTTGGAAACGCATAATACCCTAGATTAGGGAGGAAGAGTATGTTTGATCCGCAGCTTTTTGTTGGTCTATCAGAGCCACTTTCGGAAGGCTGCGATTCCTCATCGCGCAGTAACGGTCTTGATGCGATGGAGACTAGTTGCTGCTTAGTTGGCAGCTGTATTCCGCTTCAACGTACCCTGCACTTAGCTTGGCGGACTAGATCTCTTCATCTTTTAGGGTGTAGCACAGGCAAAGTCTATCTAGTCACATTGTTTTATTTCGCTAAGCCATTTGGTGTGGGCTGTTCTAGTAAAAGGCAACTATAGCCTCAGACTTGCGTATTATTTGTTGTAGTTAGAGTGGTACCTTTTCTCGCTAATTGGCCACACAATTTGCCTGGGATGTCTCCTTGGGTCTTAAAGTAACTTCCCAATTAAGAGATCGGACATTCCAAACGTCTTTCCGGTAGCTTGCCTACACAGCATTATCCAGCGCCATAATATCATTGTGAGGTAGATCGAAAAAGACAATAATTGCCTCAGTTGTTGTGGCAAGTAAAGCTCCACAGTTACACAGAAGTACGGTGCTCTGCATTAAAATCAATTTAGCGGTGATAGATTTTTTCTTGAGTTTTGGCCACCAAATTACAACTTTATTGAGAACCAACAACGTACTCCTTACCGACCTACGCACTTTTGCAGGTGTAGAAAGCACTGGAAGCCTAACGTATCCTTTCCTCCGAGCTCTATATATTTAGATGCTTAGCACTTGTCATGTTACAACTTTAATTAAGAACAGCTACTGACTGAATTCGCCATCTTCCATACCACAAGCGACTGGTTTAAGTCTAATAATAATATCTAGTTTAACGTTAAACGTTTTTTTCATATACCTATTTATATACTTTTTCTTACTAAATGTGTCACTACATATATATAAATATGCATATATGTATGCAAATATATATAAGCGAATACTTGTATTGTATTGACTGACTTTGTGGCATTGCAACTGCCAACTCATACTAAACCACAAGCCAAAAACGTTTTACGAAATAGTCGAGCATTCAACTGGATGACAAATATTTACATAGCAAAAGCAAACAAACAAACAAATAAACAATTTCGCTATAACAGCAAAAAAAACAACAACACTAGATAAATACATTTTGTATATTCCAATTTCTATAAATACATATATATGGTAAGCAAAAAAGCAACGCTGATTGTGTGTGATTGTGTGTGGGTGCTTAATAAATTCAACAATGCAAATAAAACTTTAGTCAATAATGCAACAAAAAATAAAAAAATTGTATAAAATAAATATTTTTTGTGTGCGAAAATGTTTTTCAAAATCTTTTCGTTTCAATTTTATTTATTTATTTAATTTTCACAAACAATTAAGCAAATTAGAATAACTAATTGATGCCAGAAATGATTAATTAACGCTTTCAACCACAAATTTGATGCAACACACATGCATTATTTATATTTATATAAATAATATATATTATATATATTCTGTTATGTATGTAATATTCTATACTCTGTTAATGAACTAATAAAAAACGATTTTAGATCATTTAAATTGATTGACCAAATGGTGCCAGTATCCCGCTGTAGCAGCAGCAACAGTAGCGCACGTGTTTTAATTAACTGTTAATTTAGCCATTGATTTGATGCATTAACTACATGTCAACTAACGATATAATCACATACAGCCACATATATAATATTTACAAACTAATTTCATGTCACTCACATACATATATAAGCACAAAATTGTATGTGTTGCGTATTATAATTCTCATTTGATATGAAAATTGTTGGTTTATCAGCACGAAGGTCAATTACAAAACAAAACCACTTGTGTCCGCCACAATCGAATGTAATTGATATCGGTGAACATATAAATGTCAATTAATTCCGTCTATTTGTTCAGTGGCAATACACGCAAAGATGAGATACAGATAGCAGTTGGTACTCTATTAACACTTTGATTGATATTTGGCACAGCTTTAACTCTGTTTTCTACATAAATATTTACATGGAATGCTGCACTGACCAGGTTTGCAAACTATGACTCTCTGAGCAGCAGCATGCACTCGCTTACATCGCTAGCTCAGTATTGATAACATATCATAGCTTAATTAACATGTTTACTTTGGTGCTGCTCAGTGTGCGACGGTGCGTATGAGTAACAAATTTAAATGTACAGTAGCACCAGTACTGGCATATTAGCAGCGCAATTGAGACAAGTAATTTGTATTTTTGGCAAATTACCAAACGAGACTAGTTTTTTTTTTGCCGGTATAAAATATAAAGGTATTTTAATAGCTGCCACCGCGTGTTTAGCAGTGGTTATTACCGTACGGAAGGTTATATGGTCGGAACAATTTCAAAAATAATTAAAAATTATTTGCCAATTTTTGTCGAATTAGTGGTGAAAGCGTGTCTTCTCATTAACACCAGCGCTTGAAAGTCCACGCGCTTATAGTAAAAGTGAAGCACCAGAAGATGATGACCCTGAAACACCAATCGATTTCTAAGTATAAGAAGTGAATCGATTTCTCTGATAAAAGCTCTCCATAACCCAACTATGACACATTTTGGATAATTGTGGCGGCGAAGAAATGGCAATTCATTTTCTTTGCGAAATTTCTTGAAATGAGTACTTACTTGATGAAAATAACCAAAGAATGCTCTGCTATTGTAAAAAAGGGGGATTTACAATCTGCACTAAATACTCGTATAGTGGGATAATAATGCCTTAGTGAGCATAGACCTCGCATATTGTGTTATATATTTACATCCACAATTTTTGGTCGACCTCCTCCTCTAATTTGTAATGACATCAAGTGGTTTGTTGACAACTGGAGTTATCTGCGATTTGTTGCAATCCGTTTTGATTGAAATGGTTTTTTGGAGAGTTTTTTATTGGATATGAGAAATACACTCGGAGCATTTGCATTGCATTGAAGTCCGAAACAACAGCCAGCCTCAAATACTAACGATCTATACAAAGGGAGAAACATTTCAGTCGAAATGTATGTATGCGAAGTGCTTTAAGCGCTCTTCGACAGAGAAAAGGTTGGTGGGAGTCCTTTGAGAGAATGTAATAACTTATTAAAGGTTTCAAAGGCAGTTAGTGTTATTTTTTTGGGACGAGCTACTTCGAGCTACATTATTTCGAGAAAGCTTAGATAATGAGAGTAACTATCTTACAGCCGGCTCAACTATACATAACGTGAACAAATTGAATGGACCTTGTCAGTGGCTTTATATTTGGTTGAAAAAGTTATTAATTTTGAGTTGTTTTTCAACACCTAATCTGAATTTAGTTTCCTTGCAAGACTTCCAAATGACAGAAGTAGAAGTTTTGTTAGAACTGAGGTTAGGTTTAATTCCTTGATTTTTTACATAATTTGCAAAAGTGAGGACACGTAATATGAACGCCTTACTATTAAGCTTGAAATTAATATCCACTGAACATGTATTTCTTAAGCACTTCCTGGCATCTTCTGCTCATATCTTAACCTCAATGTGGGTCACTGTGGATTTTGCAATATATTTAGCATGAATTTATTAACGAATTCCTTATAAAAATTATAAAAATCATTTGAAATTCAAATAAGCCTAAAATATCATGCCATAGGGACCAGAAAAAAGTTTTCCTTCATTTAAGCAATAAACTTTCTTTGGCAAATTCTGCTATTAATTCACTATCATTCATCCAACACAAAGATTTCTACACAATAAATTGAATAATAAATATGGCCAGCACAATAAGTTGCTTCAAACGAGTAGAGGGCACAAGTTAAAAGGAGCAGATGTCATTCAGATGAGTGCGACTGACAATTAAGAAAAATTTAATTAAATATTCAGATTGAGCAAAGTTTCATTTTGATTTACACTGGCGTCGAAAAAAGTAGGTTTTACATAACCTAAATAACCAAAGTTAACTAATTAATTATCAAGCATTCAAAACTTCTAATTAAAATGAAACTCATTTCACTCCTAACCGAGTTCAGCTCACAACTAATGTAAAATTTGTACTTCATTAGAATAAAAAATTATTCAATTTCTTTTAGTTAAATGAAGACTATAAGTCAGGTCATACTGCCGGCTGAAATATTTTCCATAGACCTGTTTGTCTTTTGTGTGGCCAAAAAGAGCTTTAATTTCAGTTGTGTTAAAGTAGTGATCACAAGGGGCTTTAAAGCCTTTTTTTCAGTTCATATTCAGTTTTGAAACTTTCATCATTTCTCTGTAGCTGCTAGATATCTCAAAAGTGTTCTCCGTAAGGCCGAACTATAAAATAGAAGTTGGTTCATTCATGCCTACCTTTTTACATTTTCGTGCTTGCGTGCATTTTCCAACGGGATGCTGGATGTTACTAAGCTAACAAATACATATAAGCGAAAAGTAAATATGCTTTCCTTCGCTATCGTTTTTCATAATTTGGTCAGTCTTGCAGGCCCTTAAGGTAATCTAAGCACTCTGGTATGTCTCCCTTCTCTCCCGAAAATTTTAATTTGCATAACCTTAAGCGTCTTTCATATTTTATATACTAGTTTGGTCATCACATGGATGAGACTTTTCGTAAACTCATCAACTATATCGAAGGTACCTTCTTCGCAAGCATTTGCTTCCCTGAAGCCATCTTATCCACTACCTCTGGGCTTCTAAAGGCATTTCTGATGTAATGCAATGTGCGATTATTGCTTTGATTGCCGCCTTGGTTGTCACCGCTGCAGCAATTTTTGCCCGAGCCTCTATTCCAGCTAAAGTTTTTCTTATGATTTCTTGCGCTGTCAGCTGATTCAGCTGGCTCCTTACCGGCGAGATCGTTGTTTTTGGCAGGTTGGAGTTTGAAGAGATCTTGTTCAACACAATGCCCAAGGTCTTACTCAGCTCAATGGATTAGCCATTTTCGATTCGTCCGTGTTTGTGTTATAAGCTACGCTGGCGTTCTAATACCATCTAAATATGTTTAATGTAGTCCCCTTTCCCCGATAACACTTAGATAAGTAAACTATTTATTTGTTGCTCAGTGTCCAAAGAGTGTATGAACTATTGCTGGCCGAGATATGCCATACCACACCAGTAACAGTGGCTTGACTAGACCCCTGCGAGTTAAGAGTTCAAGAATTTTCCCACGGTAAGGTATGCCTGCCGTAAAGGGCGACTAAATATCCAAAGACTCCTTGCGTCAGTCGGGTCCGTATACTGGAAAGACCCGGAATTTTATCCCGCCAAGAATTGTCACTTCTACAACATTCCCCTAAAACTACTTTGAGGAATATTTCTGCAGCAACAACAACAACATTGGCATGACTACGGTAATTTAGCACTAAAGAGTGAAGTCAGATGGCGGCCTAACATTCTTTATAAGCGTAAAAGCCTGTATTGTATTTTCTCATCCTTCCACAACAGCTATCCGAGGCATATGGTGTTTTCCTTAATTTTTAGAACCCTTTAATTAAACCTCGTAGGTCTCCACGCGGGGATCTTGAAGCATCTTACCTCTAAGTTGACCAATGTCACCCATTGGTAGTACGAATTGACCGTAATATATCTTCCCCAGAAGCTCTCTCTTATTAATTTTATCGCTTCATCGGTAATTTTTTTCGAAATTCTGAATAATTGGGTACCAATACAGTCTGTTACTGGGGTCCTTTTGCTATGATATCTAATTGTCGAATGGTCGGGTGGAGGTGGTGTAGAAATGTTTTTACCTGATATTACAGTAAATACTCACTATATCTAGTCCATTTTTCACATTTCCAGCGTCACCTAGGAGCAGTCGTGTGCTTAGAGGGTAACCTCATAAGCCTCTCAACCCCAGTCATCTTTTTTAATTTATATCCGAAAATCTGCAAAGACTCTTTCTCGACTTTGGAATGGCAATTCAGACGATTTAATATAAACGAATTAAAAATTTAAACTGAAAATGCATTCTTCATGACGGTTATAAAGAGTTTTCAACTTTTTTTCACTAACAATTTGTTTGTTTGCTCATGCCGCATAATAAATATTGCTCACAAATTTAATAAAACCAAAAAATATGTCACTTTCGGTCATAAAAATATTTATTTTTCATTTTCAGCAAAGCACAAATACTTTCAAATTGCTTCATGCTTGCAATGCGCGATTTCGTTGCGGTGCCATTGATTGCCATATGCTACGCGTATAAGTTGACGCAAACATATGTACATAAGTAGATGCTTACTTGAAACATAAGCATAGATGGAAATACAGTAATACAGTACTCCTTGCTGCAATTTTACAAGAAAAAACACAAGCATAAACATTTTTTATTGTAAAGAGAATTTTTTTGTCTGTAATTTTTTCTCGTATATTCTTTATTACACTTATGTCATAATATATGTATGCAAATATTTACATAAATGTCTCCGGAGTTCTTTTTTTGGCAAGTAAAGAATTAAAGGCAGAGGTTCAAAAAATTTGCATCGGTGAAATAAATGAACAAATGTTTTATTTTTTTAAAGCAAACAAAACCATTTTTATATGAATAAAATTTTTTTTTCATATATACGATATATACGTTCATAAAACTTGTAATAAAAATATATTACCAAAGTAGAAAATTAAAAAAAAAACTGTTTAACTTTAAATGTCTCTCTTTATAAAATTAAACTTAAGCAATATAATATTATAATATACAAATATTCTGGTATGTAGAAAAGTTATTATAAAAAAATAAAAATTTAATTTAAAACACATCAAACGAATTTTATTTCACATCACTCATACGCCAAGTATATACATCGAACGACATCTAAACTATGGTCGTAAACTCGGTCGTGAATGTATATAAAAATATATGCCCAACCTGTTTATTCTCATAAAAATGATATGCTGTAAATAATGAAGCTAAAAGAAGCTTGAAGCTCGGCTGCATTTAATTTAATCTATTTATTTTTTTTATTTTATTTTATTTTATTTTATTTTATTTTATTTTATTTTATTTTATTTTATTTTATTTTATTTTATTTTATTTAATTCGTTTGTTATCTTGGTCAAGAGCTTTCGCTACTAAGGAAAATCCCGCCCTAATTTAATAGGTTTATATAGACACATATCTATTTAAGTGCACTTATACACTTACATTCAAATAACGAAAGTCTACTTCAAATATCTGCGTGTTTTCAGCATCAAATTTTTTTACAGCTTCCTTACATATCTTTTTAATACTCTGAAGACGCTTTAAAGATAACTACTGCGTGCATAAGGAACTTCCTTAAACAACCGCACCACACTCGTGCTTATCTCTGTACTGGCTTTAGCATTTCTATCTGCATGTTTGTATACTGTTTGTAATAATGCTCTAGAAATGCGGCAAGATGCTATAAATCATAAAGTAAATCTTATGGCAATATTTATGTCGCCTTCTCTCCATCACCACCCTAACCTTCCTGACCGCGCTGAAGACATCTCCCCAATCTTTACTTGCTTATTCTCCTCAAGTTGTTGTTTTTTTTGTGGTGTTGTTGTTGGCTCGACATCTTTAACAAACAATATTACGTATAATGAAGTCATTTCACAGTTCGTTGCGCCATTTACCACCACAGCCACAAAGGCTGAGTGGAGAACGATACACCACGTCCATAGCATGTACTTGTAGTTGTTGCCAGAGTGCGTACACGAGTATGTTATGTGAGTTCAAGCGCTTTGGCGGCAACGTTGTAGCGCTGATTTGTTGCAAATAAATAGGCTGAGCGTGTTTGACTCGATATGCTGCTTAAGTCACGTATAGCACACTTTTCATCCAGTATTAATGTCGCATTATATTCATGTACTGTAGATGAAAGTATGTATGCACACATGTAGTTTAAAGACTTGTTTGTGTGTATGTATATGGGACGTACAGCCTTTACAGCATACACATAGCTTGTGGTTCCTATTTTATGTCATCACTAAGCTCCGCGAATGGGAAATTGTTCATCGAAATTATTACAGAAAAAAGAAAAAATAAATATATATAGACATATGTAAGTATGTCTTGTATATATTTTACTAACTTTCTTGAAAAAGTTTATTTTTTAATAAATTGTAACTAAGATGGCTCAAATGTCTGTATTTATGGTGGCTCGCGAGCTCAGTAAAAAAAATATATATATATATATATAAAAGTAATATTAAAAACTTTAGTGCAGAAATATGAATCCACTTATTTTTATGGCTAAAAAAATAAATAAAAATAAAATTTATTTTATATTATCTATTACATTAAATTGGGAGGAATCACATCCACTTATTGATTTAAATTTATTTCCACATTTAGGAATTCCAAATATGAAATCCATATTTACCAGCAACATTACTAACACATACATACTCGTATGTATGTATGTTTGTACATATATCTAATTCAAAGAAAAATATACTTCGGCACATAGTAAATGAGTGAATTTAGTCTGTCTGCCCATGCGGGTATGTAACTGAAAAGATGAGTAATTTTTGTTGTATACAAATACCTACATACATACATATGTCCCATTATATTTTAATGCGAAGACATACATTTCTAGCCTGTGCAATTTTATGGAGAATCCAGTGTTTTGGAAAAAAATTGTATTTTATTCACAGTAACTTATTTATTATCTGAGGTTGTTTTAATTGTTGTTGTTTCTTTTCTAAATATTCCATTATGAATTGATAGTTTGACCTTCACTTAACAAAACTGAATGCCGACAGCAATGGTGAGCTATGATTTAGTACACTACATACCAAAGTTAGAGGCTCCAAATTAATGCGAGTAGAGGAAGGATTCTCCGTTTCTGAAATAAGTCAACACACTTAATCTCACCACAACTCAACCCTCCAAAATTAAACTCACTACAACTTAACCTATGTAAGCCGCATTCTATTTCACCATATTAACGAACAGAAGCAACTTTACCGACAATCTCAGATGGGTGCATAAAGAAACCATCAACGAAAACCGTCCTCAACGAATTGATAACGGTAATAAAACTAAGAACCTTTGACAACATTGAAGTACACGCAATTGTGAACAGACAGGTTATAACATCAAGAGATTTAGCTCCCCGATCGAACTACGTAAGTAGAATGACTCTTCCGTGTCTTGAGCCCACTTCAGGCAGTGTCTTTACTCGCTTTTATGCATCAATAGCCTTCTTCGAAAAGTTGCCGCAAGCGCCGCTATTTAACTTAATTAGTTGGGTTTTTGGAATGGTTTTAAGTGGGATAGATAGCTAGAGCTGAAAAGGGAAGCAAGACAGATTTGTAGCGGAAAAAGGAAATAGACTGAAATGCGTGAGTACGAGGAGCTTCAGAAACTGGCGGACAAGGATAATACTCGAAAATTCTACGAAAAGATACGGCGACTTACGGAAGGTTTCAGGACCGGAGTAAACGCTTGTAGGACCCTTAGGGATGAGTTAGTGACAAATGTTCAGAGTTACTGAATCTGTGGAGAGAGCACTTCCTCAGCCAGCTGAACAATGGCAGTGAAAAAGAAACACCCGGAGAAAGTAAATCCAAAAACTCCAATTTATGACTATGGAAATGTTGTTCCGATCGAAGTCCAAAGAGCAATCGGCCGCTTAAAAAACCGCCCGAACTGTTCAAAATATGGCTGTGATGAGCTGATCAGGTGCGTGCATCAGCATATTTGCAAAATATGGTCGGGTGAAAGCATGCCAAACGATTGGAACCTAAGTGCAATTCCACAGTCTGCGTCAACTACCGTTTAATAACCCTCCTTAACATCTCTCTCTGCTTTTATTGTCATATGAATACTACTTTCCTCAGACATTCTTTTTATGACAAATTTAAATAGTGCCGATTTCGCATTATATGAAGGTAAGACCTTAGTGTTCTCTTTTCTTGGAGGTCTACAATCTGCTCTGACGCAAATTTTTAATGCAAATGCTTCAACTTGGAAGACACTACAAAAGCTTCCAGTTTAAGTGTCCTTCTTTTCCTCCTTTGGGCCCTATAAACTGAAGCCCTTACTACATAGTTCATTTAAGAGAGGAAACAAAAATAAAAATATGCAGAGCTTTGTCGAAAACTCAAACCTTTGCCACAGCCATTCACCTGGCAACAGTTTCACGTAAGTCATTATACTACTGTGCGCCCAAGTCTTAGTTTCCAGCAGCTTAGTGGCGTATAAGTGCACCAGTGATGGTGATCGTTGAAAGCTTGAAAGCCTAAAAGTCCTCTACAGTCTATACAAAGTTGATATTTTGTCCATAGTCTTCTACCATAGCAGAGTGCCGAAGAAAAGTATTGGCTTAGCGAACGCAACAAATATCAAATGCGAGTGATCAGTTGAGATACTCCAAGTATAGCTGAACATCCTTTGAAGAGAATATAGAGCCGCTGAGATATCGATCCGCTTCTCAAACTCATTATACTGACATTTCGATATCTCTAATTTTCCTGCTACCTGCTCCAAGTATTCATATCCTGTTTAATGTTTTTACAAATTTTTCAAGAACACGACCACAGTTGTCCAGCAAAACCTCCCCGAGAGTTGAAGAGCTCTCAAAAGTGTTTCTGCAATAAATTAAATGTTTCGTTGGCGGAACCAAAAATTTTCCACATCAACATCCTCCAGCTCAGGCATCAAAAAGTTGTAAAATTATGGCGGGCTTTGTTTCTTAAGAAATATAGATTCATTCTATCCACAGAGCGTACCAAACATGAACTTTTTAAAGTTGTACCTCCGTCCCAGCATTGGCTTGTGGATCATTATCACTTCAAATCAGACAATTTTGTTTGTTTAAGTGAACTTAAATCGGGATAGGTGGCCAACTCGTTTTGGACCCATTCACGAAACGTGCAACGCGCTTGATAATTGGTCGGTTTCAATTCTCACACAGGTTGGATTTTGCAATCTCGCAAGCCAAAATTCCTCCGCAAAAACTTTCATAAATCGGGTGGTCATATCTGCAATTGTGGAGTGCGATGACGCCTGGACTCATTTGGGTCTTATTTGATGCTCTGCCCCTCAACAAGAATAGGATCTCCGTTGCGCACTTTACGGCATCTCTGAGGATGCGCATCATGCATTAGAGTAAACGTCGTTCGATTTCGCATTCATGATTGCTCGAACAACCGAATCTTCTGGATGATTATGTCGATCGAAGTTTACGTAGTAATTATTCCGAAGTTAGGTCGGTGCATTATAAAATAGGAAAAACCAA